GAGTTCCTCGCTGCCAGAAGGGGGGGGGTTCCACTATTAATAGTATTAAAGGAGGATGGTGTAATTTAATATCTATTCTTCGAGGTGATTCGTAGTCTAGATGGGCTTGGATGGTAGTAGGCTAGGGTTTCGTCGTCGTCGTCGTCGTCGCCGCCGTGGTCATGGCTCAGTTCCTCAGTCCGTTCCTCCCTGCCCTGCCCCGCTCCCTTATCCTGTCCACTCTTATCCTGCCTTTGCAAGTGTGTGTCTGCAACTGGCACTGCAGCTGCAACAGATGATCCCTGGATTTGTTGTGCCCGTTGTTGGGGAACGACGCGAGGCCCTTGACGCACACTCACCATTCCACCTGCCTGGCAGCGTCCACCAGAAATCGCATTTACTCTCACTCATAACCATAGATGATGGATGGCTCTGCGCAACCTCCACCTCCCCCGCGTGTCAGAGCTCCCCACAGCATCGCCTTTGCACCAAACAGAGCAGACACACGCGAGCAAGCGAGAGAGAGAGAGGGAGATAGAGTGAGCTAGGGCTTGGATTGTACGCAGGAGGTGAGAGGGCGGCGACTGAGGATAGGGGAGGCCGTGGGGCCGCAGGAGGAGGGGGTGTGCTCCACAGCCGCCTCGCTGGCACAGGGAGGATGATATAAGGCAAACCCCTGTTCGACCGACCCTGGCAGGTCAAGCGCCATCCAGAAAAGTAAGCAGTCATCGCGCGGTGTGAAGGTTGCGCGAATCGAGTGCGTGACGGACCTAGATCGCGGCAATGTCGAATCTACGGGGGCGATCTATCCACTAGGGTTTGCATCCAGTGGGAGGCCTTTTTGTCGCTATCGCCGGTGGCTGCTAAACCCGGGCGTTGCTGGAGAATTCATATCTCTCGGGCCATGGATGGTGGGAGATGATGTGCGTTTGGTGGGGCTCAAGGGCATTGAAGGGGGCCGCGGTGATTGATTGATGGATGGAGAAGCGGAGAGAATCGGAGGCGTGTATCCATCTTGGCTCTTTTAGGATGGCGGAGGTCCATATTTGGGGGTGTGCAATCGAGGTGGGCACACGGGTCAGATCGCATTGTGTCTGAGCTTGATGATTTAATCGAAGCTCACTCAAAGTCTGTAGGATTCACGGCACAACGAACTGTTCACGGAAACACCGTAAGCAACTCAGCCCACAACAAAACCATGCAGACCTGGAAAAACTTGGGCTGGCGGGTATTGACGGACTTTCCTTCCCAACTTTGCTTTTGTTCTCTCTCATTGGTACAGAATTTTTTTTTCATTTCAGTTGTGATAATAACTATAATAAATTATATTATTATCACAATAAAGATTTAAATAGTGAACTCATTTTTCATTTCTTCACCAGAGACTTTCACTCATTGCATGAAGAAATGAAGGATTAACAGCAGAAATGATACATGGTTTCAAGTAATTGCATGATAAAGCTGACATTTGTTTTATGCACGAGTTATCAACGTTTTAAAAATCTATCCATTTAGAACAACACCTCGAGACATCACCGAATCAGCAAAACACTCTTATTCATATATTCCTGTTTTATTTTAAAACTACTTTTTTTGATTTCAATATTAACCAAATGTCTTTTCAAAGCATGTGTTGAAAAGGGCTTTCTGAATGTAGAGAACAAAAGTAGGCAGACGGTTTTTGAATAAAATCCACACAACCGAAAAAAGAGGGAGAAGAAAACAAAACAACAGGTCAGAATGGAAATACCACAAGAAATCTGTGTTATTTGAACCAACCTATTTCAAACTTTTAAAAAACTTTCTCTGAAGCAAAGGTTTCAGGATGTGGAACCAAATGTCTGAACAGTGACGTAATTCAACATCCAGATTACAAACAGCGTTCACCAGCTCCACGTACTACTGCTCAGCCAGTGTGTGAACCGAAACACAGTCCTGCTGCGTCAACAACATCCAGAGATAGATACGTGTACACTGATGGACGGATGGATTATGGCGTTGAGGAAGACTGAACCCGTGATCATCCAAAATCGGGGTAAAGAGAGAGGCAACCAACTGAGGCCATGAGTAAGAATGGTTGACGCCGTAGCCAGCGCGGCAGCGGTAGCGCCGGGTGGCGAGGCCACGCTCACAGCTTTTTCACCGACCCGACCCTCAGGATCTGTGGTTCGGAAGCGAAACAGCACCCAGCCGCACCAGCATCTATCTTCCACTAGCAGCAGGGAACAACGGGCAGGGAGGGAGGAAAGTGGGGAAGGGAAAGGGAATGGAATGGGAATGGGCTTGGATTCGCACGTGCAACCTCAGCAGTGCGACTACAGCCCACGCCGCAAGCGACAACGCCCAGGCTGAGATTACGAAATCAATCTTACAGCCTGGAGGGAGGGAGAGGTGAGTCCACGTCGCCAGGCAGCGGCGAAGAGCAGAGAAGAAGAAGAAGGGGGGACCTTTGGGGGGATTCTCTCTCTACTCTCTACTCTCTTTCTACAGCTCTCTCTATATGCTTCCCGTCCCCTGCGCGCGCGCGGGCTCTGTTTGGTTTGGGTTTGGGCTTGGCATGGTATGGTCCCGTGGGTCCGTGGTCCTGCGCCGTTCCGCCGCTATCCCCCTGCCCCCTTCACTTTCCGCTCTTTCGCTTAAATTAGTAGGTTGGCGACGCTTTTTCCAGCAGTTAACTGCATCGAGCTTGTCACCACCACATTCCCTCCGTCCCCTCCTTCTATTTTATTAGGATCTGCGTTGCGATGTCATTTTGGTTTTTTGATTTTCCTGCCTCGGACCACCGTGCTCTCGCTTACTAGGGGTTCCCTCTCTCTCCCTCTCTCTCTCCTTTTGTGGCCTGCCTGCCTTGTCTCATGTCGGTCGATTGTCGGTGACGGTAATTCCTACGTCCCCTTTCCCCCTTCTTCTCTGAGCGTTCGTGTCGTCTTCGGTCAGGTGGTTTGTCGAAGAGGGAGTGCAGGTTGTGTTTGGAGTTTGGCTGATCGAGAAGGGCATGTTGATAGTAGGAAGGTGAGTGATCAGTGTGTGGTTGATCGTAGGGCGAGGATGAGTTTCGGTGTCGCTGTCGTGGTTTCAGCATGCGGGAGTGTAGTGCGTGACTGCAGAATGAGTGTTGAAGGTGAGCCACGACGAAGATAGATTACGAGCGAGCGAGAGAGAGAGAGAGAGAGAGAGGTGGGTTTTTATGCTCCTGCTGAAGTTTGGGCATCGAGTAGAGCCATGTTGCAGGAGTCCCTAGGAAATTTCGAACTTCACGGTAGTCTTCAACCTATTTGGGTGAGAGAATGTAGTGCCCACGCAGATGTTAGAGAAGATGCTTTGCTTGACCTTAACTCTATTCCCAATCTCTTGAAACCCCCCTCCCTAACTGCCGCTGTAGGATTAACCAAGGCTGCTGCAAGTTTTACTGGTGGCGGTTCTTGTGATAGCGAGTCCTCTTCGGTAGGAATGGACGAGTCAATCTGCGGCGACCCCTCTTTAGCCGTCGACTGCACTCTTTCTCTCGGTTCGTCGGCTACGCAGCGAATGGACATCCCCGCACGCCTCTCTCGTGCGGGATCTCCCGCCCAAGACCTTGTTTGGTCCCTCTCTGCGCGATCGGAGCCAGCCGATGCCCTCACGCGCCACACGTGCGAGCAAGACGTCAGCGAACAGGGCGTGTCGTGGGATGTCAGCTCCAGTCGCAGCGATCCCGATGCCACTCCGGAGTACCAGCCGCAGGTATGGGTCGTTATGTGCTTTCTTCCAGTCGGTTGATGCAAGATCAAGTAGATCGCGTCTTCATCGTTTCCTTAACATCGAGAGTTATTTACCTCGGGTACAGTACTCCTCATTTAGCTTTGTTGGTTGTTAGAAACTTATAAGTCTTCGCTCATTGACTGATTCACAGGACAGCCCATAGGTGGTCATGCTCCTGGTCCTGGTCCGGTGGTTTTGTCGTTCTAAATTTGCATCTTCCGGTTGCCGCAGATGGCAGTCTCTGACAGAACGGCAAGCGGCGAGGACACCGTTCACAGAAGTGGATCCAAGACATGGGCGAAGCCCTGCGTTCCAACTAATGACAGGGATGAGGTGAACACCTCAAAAGGACATCTCAGTATGATCGACGGCAGTGCGTACGACAGTCGACCTGGCCGACAATCTTGGCTACCGAATTTTTTGTCATCGACTGGCCTTGCGTCTGAAGTTAAGGCCACCTCTAGATTTGAGCGTTGCATGCAACCGGAAGGAATCAACTTTGTCCGAGTCTGTGCGCACTGTGGGACATCGAAAACGCCGCTATGGAGGAATGGACCTCAAGGCCCCAAGGTAGGCACTAATTTCCACAGCATGCACCTCTTTGTTACTTCATTGTGAGGCGGATCTAGCGTGATCAAGGATCATTTAACAACGACTAATTTGCCATTGTGTTGTCGGTGCAGTCGCTTTGTAACGCATGTGGCATTCGCTTTAAGAAAGCTGGCCGAAGATCAGCCGCCAACGGCAGCTCGGAGTTGCAGGATACCCCTCTAACCTCGGTGACGGCGGTTAAGGTGGAGAATCCGAAGGCCGTCGATGCTGACGTCGACCATCAGCAATGCTGGGAGTGTTCCCCAGAAGTCAAGCCCAGGAAGAGAAGTCGAGGATCTTTTCTTCACCAGAGAGCGTCAGAAAGTTCCCTCTCAGGCGGCAGCTGTATGACCTGGCAGTCCTGCCTCTTGACGTCGTCACCGAAGAACGTCGACTCTCGAGCATCCCCCATTGTAGGGAGCCGAGAGAAGAAGTTAGTGTTCAGGAAGGCTTTCTCCACAGATGAGGAGGAAGGAGCTGAATTGTTGATGGCGCTCTCATGCGGCATGGTGTACACTTGATTCTTTATTTTGGTAGAATTAGTTCATTGTTTGGCTACGGCTCTATTTTATGTAGAACGTTTGTCCTGTCTGATGCTTATGAGAGATACGTGCAACGTTTGGTCTTCATTGACGCTTTGATGCAGACCCAGACATGTGCGTTGATGCGTCGAGCAAGCAGACCTTGTAAATATCTAGAAAATGGAGCCACGGGAATTTAAACGTAGAGCTCACCTAGGTATGTCGGTGGAACATGTGTTTTTCATTGCACTTAGATCATGGTGTTTTGCTCATATATCTTGCAACTAGCTCTCCTACTTACCTTTCTGGATAACGAGAGATGCGGTTGCGGTGAAGCTCTTATTGAGAAAATAAAGTAGCAAATTTTGCCGATGTTTTTCAGCACCGAGAACTTTCACTTTTGCGAGTTTTGACGCTGTGTGAACTATGAGTTCGATGTTTGATTGGATCGGTAGATCATTGGTTCGTAAAATGCACATAATTGTGGTTGATAAGAGCAATATCTAATTAGAAGATATTCTCTTGTGGAAAAGCTAACCTCTTGTGAGATACACTTCAAACTCTTTGACAATCACTGGATAAGATTATACTGGAAACTCCATTCTTGGTTAGTTTCTTTCCTGCTTCCAACTGTTGGCTGCGAAAACAATTGTCAAGGTCTTTGGTCTTGAGGCATTATTAATAACTGACTTGAAATGTCACTTCCAGTGTGGGCAGCTGTATTTTCTCATCTGTAAGATGACAGTTTCTCTGATGCGTTATTGATGAACAAAAGAAGCGCAGAGCATACAATTGGTAGCATGAACAAACTTGCAAAGGTGAGCTATTAAATTGGGGAAGCAAATCACAGTTTCAGCAACAGACCAACTATTCCTTTGAACACAATTGGTTTTGCCGTGGAGGCAATCCCACATGGCCGCTGATAGTTAGCGAATTAACCATCGTAACGAACAAATTTGGTCCACACGATACTCTACAAGCACAAGAGAAAGAATATCCGGTTTGAACACGTTTAGCTTTCACAGTTGCAGTTGAGATACCCCCCCCCCCCCCTCTTGAAGCAATAATTCCAGTGTGACCAGATTTTCAGATTCTAAGACTTTCTGATACTATTGTTTATACCTTGCCTTTCACATTAAAGGCGAATATGATTCCATTGCAACGTCGAGTTTTTACCTTATTCATCTTAAAGATTTAAAAAACATTCCGAATCACATCATCAAAAACCAAACCAGATGGTAAAAATATAGGGGTCTTTTCCGAGGCATTACAGAAAAACAATGGCGGATACAGTTACATTTCTTCAGCACTTTTTTCACTGCTTGATTGTTTTTTAAAACAATCACGATAAAATTCAGTGGAATCACCAGATTTGTTTGCAGCCCAACTTCTAAACATCGAAGAAGCACCGTCTACCCCTTCAGTCCCCATTTTCCTACTGCCGAATACAAACAAACTTACCGACATTTCAATACTCACTTTCTCAATTCACGATGCTAAAACTTCTCACACTGTTCTTGTTTATATTATCATTCTTGATCAATTGACCTACATAAGAACATAAAAAATTACTCCATCTACCGAAAACTTAGATGGGTAGCCCTCACTATCCTGCAAAAATATCTTACAAACATGAGATATACCAGCTCAGACGTACCGACATTGTTGCTCGTGCAGGGCAGCAGCGACGCAGCCTCAGGGAAGCGCATAGCAAGTTGTGTAATTCTGGCTGCGATCCAACAATCAGAAGAACCAAGCTTAATACCTAGAAACTCACACTGCACACCCAAAACTAATGCAATCGGGCATGAAGGGTTTTGACCACGAATCCCTCTTTGCGAACGAAAGTGTACAGAAACAGCTTCGTTCGTTCGCAATGGACGGAGTTCATATTTTCAGGGGCACCATTTTTTGTAGGAACGTGTAACCCATTAGTTAAGCTTCATGCGTAAGCTTTGCCTTCTGCCCGTGCCGTCGTCTTCGCTCTGCCATTTGTACCTGTGAAGCAGCAATGTTGATCATGCTCCGTTTATCGATCAGCTCATGATGAAATTTCCTACTTTAACAATGTTCATTTGTAGGGTAGTGTTGAGCTGAAGAGCGTAGAGGACGTGTGCTGCGTTTGTGGAAATACCTGAAGAAAATTGGTGTTAGTTTTTGAAGACTGATGGCGAGAAGCAAGGTAAGAGGAGAAATCACTGCTTCTCCGTTGCAGTTCTTATACTGGGTTGTGGGTCGAATTTCGTTGCATGCGGTAGAACATGTGCGCAAGGAGTGGGAAGTTTTTCTGCAACTGTAAGCGCATTGAAAATTTACTACCTCAGTTACGTGCTGATGATTGTGCAATTGTATAGATCAGCGAATTTTCATTGTTGTGTTCGATCAGGGTGATAACGGGATTTCTCGTCACCGACAGGATAAAAGAACATGAATCCGCTCTGGAAGCTTGTGGATGATCTAGGTTTACGCTTGCTGTCTGATCGTCATGTTTTATTTTCAAAGAGTTAATAACGTTTTATCCGTCAGAATATTTCATGAACACTTTGTAATACTGTATACAGCCACTCTGCAAATAGCTCGTTACAGAAATTTTACAGCGAAAGGAGAGGGAGAGAGAGAGGGAGCGAGAGTGAGATTCCCCAGCTAACCTCTCTTGAGAAAGCCTACTGTTGAGACTCGCACAGACAGAATGCCTGACTGTTAAAAGTATGTGACCATGGTTCAATTGCAGGAACTGTTGATCCTATATTCACACTAGAAGAATGCTTTCTTATTGAATATTCAATTTTTCATTAGCTTATTCTGATGCAATCTATTGGTGGGAGGGCAGGAAACGTTGATGCTGTTGCTGGATGTGGGTCCTAGTATGCACCCTTATCTGGCCGATGTATCAAAGTGCATGACTACTTTAATACACAGGAAGGCGAGTTATTCTATTCATTTGCTGGAGGACTCTTATTGCTGCAAATTTCCAATATATCAATTTGTTTAGCTTGTCACCGCATACAATCGCTTCACTGCCGAGTCTATCAGGGGTTTCGCGCATAAAAATTGCAGAATTTATTAGTGCTTTTATATGTTTCTTGTTAATTATTAAATCCTTCAAAATGTTAATATGGTGAGGTGGTTTCGTCCATGCAGCTCATGCTGAGTAAGAATGATGAGGTTGGAGTGGTTTATTTTGGCACAACTGGTAAGTCCTTCAAAATTATTTGAGACTGAGTATTCATTCTCGTTTAGTCTTTTGCAACTGGCCATATTTATGGATATGTGGACTGTATGTACACATGTATGCAGTTTGGTTTGTTCAGGTGTTTCTCTCCAGGATTTTAATGGTTTTCCACCGAGTTGAGGTCACCAGAAGAATCTGAGTGTGTTGAAATTCCACTTGCAACAGAAACGGACAACGAGCTGAACAAGGAAATGGAAGGTTATCATAATATTGTGGTTGTAGAGCCAATTGCTGTTGTATCTCAAGATCTAGCACATCGATTGGAAAACATTCCATGCGGATTTGGTTCAAGCGACTGTATCCTTTTTCGCAGTCAAAGTGGGCGCTGTCATGGGTTGTGAAGAAAGTTAATATTTGTAATGACAAAACGATGAGTTATCTCAGAGAATTTTCTTTAACAAACGTGAACAGTTTTGGATGTCATCGTTGTGGGTTGTGACATGTTAATGAAAAAACTGGGTGAAAACAAGAAGGGCAATAAACGCCTGTGTCTTGTTACTGATGCTGCATCCCCAGTTAGAGAACCTTCCGAAGGAACTGTAGAAGATCAAGTGAGAAATATAGCAGAACGTATGGGTGAACAAGGTATCAAGTTAGATGTTGTTGTAGTCCGTGTTGGTCAAAACTTTTTGATAAACTCTACTGGGCAACATCAGAACGACGTCCTTTTAGATCTCTTCAAATTGCACACTCAAGCGGAGATTGGTATTGCACGAACTGCAACATCTATGCTGGGAATTATAAGGCCTCGCGCTGTTTCACCTACAACTTTATATCGCGGCGACTTTGAACTTACACCAGATCTACGCATTAAGGTTTCATTTTAACCTTCTGCAGTCATTAGTGCATTCTAGCAGAGGGAGGAAGTCGGTTTTGTAGATGAGAATTAAGTCGACCAACTTTCAAAGATCTTCCTCAACTTCTTTTTGTTTTGTTTTAGTTGCTACTCTCAGATGCTTGCATAACTGAAAATATGAGTCAGTAGATATATTCTTATGGTGTTGAAGGTTGGGTTGGTCAATCTATGTGTAGGATGCGGTTAACCTGCAACTAGGAGACTTTGTGTTTGCCGTTGTTTTTGTAATAATGAGTCCAGTCTTATATACACGTGCTTAGATTATGATCTCTGCGATCCTTTCTCTCTACAGGTTTCTGGAAATAAATTACCAGCACATGTACAAGCAATACTGTTATTGTGAGGCTAGTCTTGTTATTGCAGATTAGTAGTAAATACTTTCAAAGAATTCCACTCATTATGTTCAATTACTTCTGTAGGTATGGGTGTACAAAAAGACTTCGCAGGAGAAACTTCCTACATTGAAAAAGTATTCCAATGAAGCACCCGCCTCCGACTCTCATGCAACCCGTGAAGTGAAGATAGATACTGAATACAAAAGCTCTGACAACCCAGATGTTTCTGTTCCCCCTGAGCAACGAACCAAAGCATACAAGTATGGAAAGAATTTCATCCCTATTTCTAGTTCAATGGAGGATTCTCTGAAGTTCAAACCTGAAAAAGGCGTCAAGCTTAAGGGGTTTGTTAAACGTTCTGATATTCCTCGGTATGTTGATAATCTTACTTTCCCTCATTATCTGTGTGAACGCTGGTTCCCTATTTTAGTGCGTCTTCTGATCAAGGAGTAAATATGCAATCGTTATGTGTTGTGTGATTTCTGTACTCCTATTTAAGGACAGATGTCATGGATCTTCACCGGATGGACATGGTTGGCTTTGATGTAGGCATTACTTCCTTAAGGAGTCTAGCATATTTTTGCCGGAGCCTGGACATCAAAAGTCTATTGTAGCAGTGTCAGCACTTGCTCGAGCCATGAAAGAACATGATTACGCGGCAGTAGTTCGTTGTGTGTGGAGACAAGGACAAACCAATGTTGTCATGGGGATCCTTTTACCATTTGTTTCTGCACAAGAAAACGTGGTTAGTCTGAAACCTCCCTTGTATTTATGTTGTAGAGTTGACAAATTTACACTATCAATATTTGATGCATTGATGTAGACTTATTTATTGACAGGCTGATGGTTTTTACTTCAATGTCATACCCTTCCTGGACGATATGCGGGAGTTCCGTTTCACGTCTTTTAGCTCTATGCCAGAGTCTTTGCAGCCAAGTTGTGAACAGCAAGAAGCTGCATATAATCTGGTTCGTATGCTCGACCTGTCTCCAAGCGAAGACGAAGAACTGCTTCAGCCAGAACAAACCATTAATCCCGTTCTGCAGGTAGGATTGATAAATTTACTTGCAGTTACGGAATCGTTTTGCAATCCGTTCTTTCAATTTACATCTGTAACAATGGTATTGACCCCTGTGCTCAATGCTTTCTGCTACTTGCCTCTACTACTCAGGCACTGTTCGGTTTTAAGACCATGGCATTGTAGAACGACTAATGAATGACTTTTGCTCGTGACACAGCATATTAAACGGGACTTTTCTTTTCAAGTTCTAAATTTGAACATAACTATCGCGTGCTTTTGACAGAGATTCTATTATTTTTTGCATTTGCGATCCCTCAATCCGGAGGCCAAAGTACCTCCACTAGATGAATCCTTGCGCTGTATAGTAGAACCAGATCTGCTGCGTCTTGATGAAAATCAATATGCAATAAATCAGTTCTCTCAACAGTTAACACTGACGCCAAATATCCAGGTCTGGTGCTGCTTCCTCCTCCCTTTCTTTGTTCGAAGAAAGATTGTCATCCAGTCAGAACAGCATACTCGGATTGGGTACCCAAGTGCAGGGTCAGACAACTTCAAGTGTATAACTAGGATCATATGAACAGTATGTAGAATGTCTTCAGGATACGAGGTATTCATACTTTAGAAAGCAAGTTGTAACTTCAGAATTTCAATTAGCTGCAAAATTCATGGTTGCATGGCGTTGTCAACTTCTATATTCAAGCAGGAGAATGGCAAGAAGTCTTTCTGGAAAGGCGAACGGAGGGATGGTAACGTTCTGCAAATCAAAGATGAACCAGCTTTCATGGATGTGGATATGAAAAACCCTGGTTCTGTATCTTTCAATAGTCTTGCTTCAAGGAAGGTTGAGGAAATTGGGAGTGCAAATCCTGTGGCTGATTTTGAGGCACTCATGGCTCGCCGTGACAGCCCTGAATGGGTTGGCAAAGCGATTCAAGGGATGAAGAAAATGATATATGATCTCCTAGACTCTGCTTACAATGGCAACACATACGAAAAGGCTCTTGCATGCTTGATTTCCCTGCGATTGGGGTGTGTAATCCAAGAGGTACTGTCTTGGTGTGCCTTTTACGTAATAATGGTGTCCGATAATGACACGATTTCAAACTCTGAATTGGAAAATCTAATGCACTGAAGACGCTCTAGGAATTCACACAAAAGATTTGTCTGTGACCTGTACAGGAACCTTTGGAATTCAATTTTTTCCTACGCGATTTAAAGACTAAGGGAAGTACGATACGGCTGCAAGACTTTTGGCAGCAAGTCATGGGCAAAAAAATTACTCTAATTTCCAAGGATGAAGCACCTGACAGGTATCTAATTCTCGTAGCACGAGGCCCGGAATCAACCTAGTCAAATTCTTAATGATCAATCATGTAATGTATTTTTCTTTTGTTCTTTCATACATTCCTAAATCTAGCAAAAGTAGTTCTGTCTGCAACATACCGATATTAACAGTAAGCAGCAGCTCTCATTATCCTCACAATTGGAACTTTGAACTCTTGATTATTTGACCAAAGCCTTGACGCGTGTTCTGTTTTTGGAGACACAGTAATGTAGGAGCTGCTGAAGCTGCATCATTTTTAACCAGTGAGAAGCTGATCGCGAAGAAGGAAGAACCGGCTGATGAGATTGACGAAATGGAAGCTCTTCTTGGAGGAGCTATGTCATAAATTTATTGCAATTCCTCTGATCTCGGCGTATCCCTCCCCTTCGCTGGGCATTTATGAAAGATGCTTCTAGCCACAGATTTAGCTGCTAACTTTCATGGCCAACTCTAGTGCTCACACAGGCTTCGCGGCTTGTAGAAAGTCCTTTTTTGATATCAGAGACTTCAAAGGCCAGATGTATCTCCCATTTTTCTAGAGCAAATCCTCTGTAATTTCAACAGTAACTTAGTTCACCCAATAGTGATTTGTTCAATCAACTCTACATTTTTCCTTCATGCAATGGTCTAGTACTCGCACTGGGATGCAATCATCTGACAATTGAACCCTAAACGCTGAAGACGCTGCCAACTTATCACTGCGAAGCCACTGAAATGAAACTGACATTAACAAAACGTGAACAATTCGGGAAACCCCGAAAGATGTTAGCGGCAAGGTTGCCGTGTCCCTTTAATGCACTATTTTACTTGCAGACTGATCGTAAACGCATCTGGTGGAAGATGGGACCATTCGTTAGGTCCACCTTGCCCGCCTTGAGATATATTTTAAACGACGCCTGCACACAAAGTACTTACGTAAACGGACCGCATGTTACGCTATAAATATGAGGCCATCCCATTTGCACTGTCGGCATTATTATGATAGTTACGTCATCACCAGCTGATCACGAAATTGGGTTTTGCAGTTTTTGCAAGTGGTGGGTGATCGTTGAGATTTGGTTCAAGGGGGTGCAGCCAGCCGCCGTACTCAGCTGTGAGTCTGCGAAGGGCGCTTCACAGCGTCGAAGGAGATTGAGTGTCGGTAACTCGGAAAGGGTGTTTCTTCGCTAGGAACTGAGCTCTTAACAAGCACATCCTCACTTCAGTTTCATCTGGCTGATGAACTTAGGGTTCATCGTGGAGCTCATCTTTCTTTAGCGTCATACAGTGAAAACTGGTGACTGCTTCGTTCAGAACTGGAGAAAATTTCTTGGTACTGGGTGGTGGAGTGTCTTGGAAGGAAGGGGAGAGGTTCGTCCACGCTTTCGAGGATCTTCAAAAGTTAGTCGGTGAGAGAGAGCATTGTTTATTAGCTCGTGAAGTGCTTTTGTCGCGAGATATAGGTCTTGGGACGATATTCGAGGAGCCGGGAGTCATGATTGTGAGCGGGGAGTCGAAGATTAGGCAGTCTCACAAGCGCAACCGCCTCCGCGTGGGGTACGCTGAGGCACAACCATCGTCGTGTGGACCAGTGCTCCAGAACCATCAGCCAATGAGCAACCCAATCTGGAGTAAGGCGACGACGCCTGTTGTTGTGGTAGACGACGAGGACGATGATGTTGTTGTCTCATCGCCGGCAGCTTTCGCTCATGTCTGTAAGCAATTCCTCAGTGAAATTGTCTGTAGTTATTCTGGTTTTCGTGCGTTGAGATGATGATCTATGTCCTACGGTGACTATGTGCATTGCAAATGCTTTCCTGCCTCGGTAGGCTCTTCGGTGGAGTTCAATTGTTTCAAATGAGGTGGGTGTTCTCTTCATAGCATGCGATATCACCATGGGAATCCAGTTTTGCGAACCTTGATGAGTTCTTTCGTCACCTTTCAATCAAGCAAAAGTCTGCTGTGGTAGAGTCCCTTTCTTTTTCCAGGGCTTACCACAACGGTTATTTGGTTTGGTGTAGAACATGAGGTCGTTAGCTTAATTCTAGTTGATTCACACATACATTGAATCATATCCTCGTGCGCTCCGTCCAATCAATTGGTTTCAGATAGGCGTCAATCCCTTGTGCGCCCTAATCATTAAATAAAATCAGTGTCGATAACATGTCTGTACTTGAGCCTATTTCGCTAACATTTCAATATCTGATCTTGATTACTAAGGGAGGTCCCCGATAGCCAGTAACTTCGAACTTTAGCACCATCAGAACTTTTCGTTTCGATATTTCTGAGTCGCTGGCTTACATAGCTGGTCTTTTTGCAAATTGCACATCATGAGAACGAATTTGGAGTCGACGTGATGCTATGCAAAGAAGAGGCTGATGCGCGTTTCGAGTTTTCCATTGTGCATTAGCATACTGCGCTCAACAGATCAAGCTCACAGATATGAGATGTGCCTGACACGTATGCTGTTGGTCTCTTGGTTGTACAATACTAGCTTACTTTGCAGAAGCTGAATTTGTTCATCTTGCCTTTGTGAACGGCATTGATGTGCAGGCCAAATTGAAAGCAAGCATAAGAGTAACACGACCTAGATTGCCAGTGGAAGAGGATCCATTGGCATTGCGTCTGGGCCGTGGAGGTAATCGTCTGTATTTTTCACGTATCACAATGATTTGCTTGCTAGCGTTATTCCCTTATTTACGCAGTTTTATGAATAGTCCTCGTGAGGAAAGACCCTTCGATTTATGTTCTTCCGTTTTTTGTTAGCACTGTCAAATATCATGTTTCTGGAGCCAGTCTAGGTTCATTGCTGAGACTCTGGTTTGTAAATTCTCTCTTTGGGGTCGTCTATCATCATGACGAAGTGATGCTGTGATGTGTTTTCCTCTTAGCCTACTTGTTTAGGTATGACGATTTATCTTTGCATTATGGCGATTTTGTCTCGTGATACATATCACCTCCAGAGGTTCTCTAACGCTTGCACTGGAGCGTGTACCCAATGTGATATTTCTGAAGTAATGGAACTAAGCGTTAATGGCCTTAATTTATGATTCAGAGACATCACTGTGTATTATCGGGAATCCGTCACCATCTGGTGCAAGTCAGCAACAGCCCCGTTCAGGTCGCCGGGGGCGACAACTTCGGTCAATTATAGATCTCGCGAATACGCTTACTCCAGTGCGACAAACTTCCATGAGTGAGGACTGTGTGCTTCTTTCTGACATTCCTAAGGTATTATATATTTTTTGGCTTAGTTATGGGGTTTGTCCCTTCTGTGATGTGTGTGGAATCCACTTTGCTGCAAGTCAATGACTTTTTCTTTCTTATTGTTGTCGTTGTTGTTATTGATCAAGGTGAAAGTTTCATCTTATTGTCTCTTCATCAAGTTTTGTTGTGTTGAATTGGAAGCTGCTTTCTCATTGTTGATCCTGGCAGTAAGGTCTGTGGAAAGTCTTCTAACATTTCCATGTTGTCCTGAGTATGCTTCCTTTACGCACCATGTATTCAACTTGTGTTCTACAATCTAGATATCGTTTTTAATCTAACAAACTTCTGCTCTATTTCCAGACTAGGAAACGTAGACATGTTCAACTGGAATCCACTTGGGAGATCCCCCCAAACTTGCCAGCTCAGGACAAAGAGGAGGAACCTAAACTGAAGTGCCCTATTTGTGCGGATGTAATGAAAGCCGAGACATCCACCATTTGTGGTCATATTTTTTGTCAAGCTTGTATTCAAAGTGCGATCAAGGCACAGAAGAAATGCCCTACCTGTCGGAAGAAGTTGACATTGAAAAGCATACATCGGATATATATTTGATCTGCACTCACAGTGCATACTGCACGTTACCAGAACCAACTGCCATAACTGCCATTAGATTTGTACATTTTTAGGACGGATGGTCTCACAGGTAGGATAAGGTAAGTGATTCAATCAGAAGGGATGCGGGGGGACTGAAATCGTTTGCTGCAATTGCAGAAAAGGATTTCATTTTTTATTTTTCAGTTTTATTTTTGCTCCTGTTGAATCTGCACCAAGGTGCGTACCAGTGCGATAACTTCACCTGCAGCTTCCTGCCCTCTCAGCTCACATTGGGAGCATTGAAGAGTGGAATTACTGTACATTCAACATTTGTTTTGTATTCTTAAATTAACGTTTTCCTGGATATTTCTTCACTTGTGTTTCTCCATTAAAATCAAGTACTTTGTTGAGCTACTATTCCAATGTTAAGTCTCTACCACTAGGTCAAAGCCTCCCGTTTCAGGAACGAAAACAGTCAAACGACTCCTAAGGTTAGCTTGTACATAGATCTACCTCCTGCAAAAAGAATCAACATTCCCATGATGATCTGCTTCATGTGCTTTTTTCTATGGTAGACATGGCATAAACCGTTAAAATAAGGTGGAAGTGGTTCTGAATGACCTTCGGAAGGTGAAGAGGAAACTAAAATAGTGAATGTGTTGTAAACATCATACACTTGGTGGAAAAAAAAATATAATTTTTCAAAGTGATTTCCTAGTCTTGTCTTCTAGACATGTTAGTTGTGATGAAAAACCACCATGAATTGTTGTGAAAGTTGGAAAAATTGTGTTATAGAACCATGGACTACATGTGCCAAAAATCATGATTGGTAAATAAAAAATTTGGACCAGATATGATGCCATTCAACTATGCATGCAAGCATGGTTGAAAGCAAATTGAACTTTGAATAAATGTAGACTTGCCAATTTTAAGGTTGATGATGCTTACAAGTCCACACTTTACTTCACACCAAACTAGTTGGTTCAAACTCAATTGTGGCTTATACTTTGTTGCAATCATGTGCCATGATGCTTAATAACTAATGGTCATATCAATGCTTATCAATTCTCTATTCTTGTATGCAGTTGCCATTGCCCATTGAGCTAGTTATATCCTAGAAACATGGTATAAGCGAAAGGAAATTGAAGCATGAACAAAGACTGATATGTTTGAAAAGAATGTGAAGGTGGTGTGGGTATTAAAGTGATAGAAAAGGACTTGGCTTGGTGCAAACAAAGGAGGAACTAAATAGAAGAATAAGCCATTTTGTTGATGTTGAGACAAAGGGGGTGTTGCTAGCTACATCTCTAACTTTGGCAATGGGTCATTGCCATGAAGTCCATTGCTACTTTCTTAACATCCTTCGACATTCTACGCCCTTGCACTTTATTGTCACAAAAACTCTACTATTCTTTTCAATTGCTTTGTAATCTTTGTTATATTAGTGATTGTCACCTTTGACATGCATTAGACCTTCAATTGTTGCATATTACAATGCTCTGCAATTTGCTTTGCAGCTACTTGCACTTACTTAGCTACTTGACCTTTTCAAATGCTCAGCAGCTGTAGCCCTCATTGTATGTGTCTCTTCATGTTCAGTGAGTCTCCTTCTCTTTGCTTCTTCTTTTTCAATTCTTTTTCTTTCTTTTCCTTATAGTTGCACTTTTTTTTGTGCTTGCATTTATTATATTGCAATTGTATATTCCTTGAATTTTAATATCTTTGACTTTGTGAAGTCCATCATATGGTTGTAGTTTCTAAAGCTTGATCTTTTTGTCACCATTGGTAAGATTAGAAATGAAATCATAAGGCAATGTATTTGGATTAAGTGTGACCAAATCAAAAACATGATTGGATCTTGTCTCTCATTTTGGAGTTGACAAAAAAATGTGAATGTCCATCAATAGATTGAATAACAAACTCTACTTCAATCAAAGTTAAGCTAAAGAAGATGAATTTATGTACATCGTCCTATTCACATCGCTCACCAACATATAATCTAATTTGTTCTATGCATGCTTCAAGTAAGTTCATACTTAAAGTTTTAAAGCTTAACTTCAATTCTTTGTTTACAAATGCTACAAATGTAATGATATTTCTATTTAAAGATAAAATATTGGAGCTAACAAATCTCAAAGTAATATTGATAAAAGCCAAGAATCCTTGCAATGTAAGTGATATCCAATGTACTAGCATTATACTATTATGTGAAGTCTTGCTTGAAAACACACTAGTGTCGTAGTAGAGAGAGTTTGCATCAAGAAAGCGCTAAGCTTCTAGCTGACACTAATTGCTCAAATAAGTTAGAAGTTTATAAAACACAAATATTATTTATATCTTATCTTCAAGAAGATAATTGCATCAAATATACAAGTCTAGGATGTACAACAGTTCCCAAGATGTGACTAGATATCCTAAAATTACTTCTACTCTTGTAGAGATCTCTTCCACATATGTATCATTCAATAACTTCTAATTTATTTGTCTAATTGGATTCAAAATTTTCTACAAATTAACTTAAATCTTTGACTACTTTTATACAAGAAAACAACCATAAATTCATTACAAATCTTTAGATATCACCTCATTTTTAGCAAGTACTAAACATATCAATTTTTAAGTACTCATGTATTAAATCCACCATATTTCAAAAATCCAATACTCAAATATTATGAATTTTTTATATACAACTTTTAAACCTAGTCTGTTATACTCGAAAAAAATTTGAGCCATAATTTCATCCAAAAATTCAAAATATGGCCTAAATTAAAACCTCCATGAAAAGAACTCACTTACAAATCCTTAGTTTTTAAGCACTAACTTCCAATAATTCTTTTTCTCTTATTTCAAATTAAAAATTATTTATTTTTTGTATAAAATGTAGCTTTTTAATTCATCTTTTAAATTTTATTTTTTGATTATTAAAATGCCTTTCTAAAATTCTCTATATGCTTAAAAGAATAATAATAAGTACCAAATTTATACCCTAAATTCAAACAACCATATCTCCTTCATTAAAACTCCAAATTATACATTTTTTTCATCCAACTTCTAATCTAAAATACAAGCTTTCTAAATCCAATCTCCAAACTTCAAATGAATTGCCTTGCTTTGAATGGACTGCCTTAAAGTCGTCCCAAATTCTAATATGGTCCCAAACAACATCTCAAAGCCAATTTGACATGACTTTCAACCAAAGGTAATGAAGTCCTCTATCACTCACTTTATCCATCTACATGAGATGGCCTAGGAATCAAAATATTATACTTTTGACACCAAAGCTTTACTAAATTTATTATTAATAAATCCTACAAATTTAATATTTAATAACAAAATTTAAATTATAAATTTTAATAAATTAGATAAGTATTTTATTTTATTTTTAATTACAATCTAATATTTTATAATATTTTATTTTATTTTTATATATTATACTACTTTTCAACATGACATTAGGTACTTATTTGTAGAAGATAAAAGAAAATTAAAACAAAAAGTCATTAAAACTCTAATAGAATTATATATAAATTATAATTAAAGCTTAAAAAATATAATAAATATTGATTAAGTTTAATTAAAAATTAAAATAAATTATAAAAAAATACAAAAAAAAAAATTAATTAAATCTTAATCAAATTTTAGACAAATCTTAAAAAAACTTAAACAAATCTTAAACAAATCCTTTAAAAATCCTAATCTTAATCAAATCTTAATCAAATGTTAAATGAATCCTAATCAAATCTTAAAAAAATTCTAATCAAATCCTAAAAAAACCTAGATAATTCCTAAAAAAATCTTAATTAAATCCTAGATCCTAAAGCATTCAAAGCATTAATTTTAATTCAAATTTTGTACATCTTTTAATAATTAAGCCAAAAACAAACACAAATATTTTTAAGAATATCAAACATATCAAATAGAAGTTAAGTCCTAAAATCTACCTAAATATTGATTGATCTTCTTTTCCAATTTTAATGAAAATCTTTTTAAGCTAAAATCACTTAATTATATTATTAAATATTTATTAAAAATTATATATATGTTAAAAATTAAGTCTATTATCCATATAAATAAATTTTATATTTGATAATTTAATTGATAGATTACTAAAGATCTTAAAAATCATCATTTTTCCTTCAAATTCTATTTTTGAGACTCCAATCTACTTGAATTTTAATATCTTTCAATCTAATTATTTAATTATGCTCAAATCTATAGTATGTAATAAAAAAATTAATCACAAATCTACAAATTTTTATTTATAGATCTACTATCAAACTTACAAAAATATTCCAAATATAAACCTATCAAGGATATGAATTAAAAGAAGATATATAAACTTGGAAAATCTAAATCAAAAGTAAAATAACAAAATAGAAATAAAGTAGTATATATATTAAAAAGAAACTAGAATGGCTATTGCTAAAAGACAAAGAAACTAAATACTTTTGAATCTAGACTAGAAGCAAGAAATGAATTGACAAGAGTGAAGAAGGCTTTACTCTTGTCTCTATATATATTATCTACCTAAGATTTATGTGGCAATATTCTATAAAACTTCCAAAAATATGTTGACTTTGCATGACACATATCTTAACTTGCAAGGTAAGTTTTCTATATGGTCGCCACATAATTAGCTTGTTTTACAAGCTATCAATATATGTGGAACATAGATAGCTTGTTGACCAAGTTTCTAATCTACCAATCAACTACAAATATATGTAAAGTCAAAACAATGTTTGGAAAGCATCTAAGAAGTTTTTGTAGAAGGTATTATGAAATTAATCTATTTTTACCTAATTCTACCTATTTAGATAATAATTACAATAGATATAAATTTATGATGTTATCCCTTCTTTTAGGAACAAGCTCCATAAGGAGTAGTAATCATATATTGAAAAAGTCTAAGATGTGGCAAATTATATTTGCTACATACTCTGATCTTTGTTTTCTTTGAAAGTAGTTGATAGGTCCTCTCAGCTATTGATAATGTCTTATTCCAGGGCGGGAAGACCATCCTAATATTTTCATTATTGTTGAAACCTTTATAACATTCTTCAAACAAAATATTTGCAACACCATCAAGAGTCATGCATACTTCTAATAAAATCATCAAACATTGAAAATCTTTTCTTGGTCGTAATACTTAACAAATTATATATCACCATCTATTTGAAGAAGAATGTGTTGTTCTTGAAGGTCTTCATCTCTATTACGTCATCTTAGACATTGTGATAATTGCAATGTCTCATGTGATAAGTCAAAAAATAATGGCTCTAAAGTTGAGTCTACTGGTTGATTTTCCATCTTCTTGACACCACAATTATATAGAAGCTACAAACAAGGATAAAAGATAGAATGCAATCTTTCCTGT